AGAAGTCAAGGAAGCTGTTACATGAACACATTGGTGTGTTCAGGGTGTCTCTACAGAGGATCTCATTTGGTAAAGGACACATCAGTGATATAAATCTGCAGTAAATGCAAGTGAGAACTGCTGTGGCTTTTCCCCACAGGATTTGGTACAGGACTAATGGTACAAGGAGACAGATTGAGTATTATGGCCTGGCCTCCCACAGTGATTGCTCAATGTGTGGGTCCATCCCTGGAACAGCACAGARGGGCCAGTTCAGGTTCATAGAAAGGAATTATGGAGGGGCTGTGCTTAGCTTTCTCTTTCCTATCTGAGAAGGAGCATTCTTAATACAACTTGGATGAGCTTTGAATAGGCCAGACTGTAAAGTTACTGTAATATTAGCAAAACCTATAGGTACAGGGCAATATACCTCATGTCCATAGACAGAAAAATCCTTAATACTGGTAGAATAAATTCAACAGAACATGATTAAATCATACACTAGGACYAAATGAGATTTATCCCAGTTGCAAAAATGTTTCAAAGCACAAAAATAATTCAATGTGGTCAACTGTACTGACAGGATGAGGTAGCCTGAGGTTTCCGTGGCCAGGAGACCTCTGGGCACCTGCAGTGGTCAAGTATTTAAAAAAATAAAATCAGACGAGATTGTCCGCGTTCAGGGTAGTATGGCTGTAGACAATAAAAAAATTTAAAAAATAAATAAATTAAATAAAAAAAATCGAAAGGGTTATAAGATCAAACTGTGAACGGTGTGCACGAAATTAGTTAACCTAGGTGAAACAGACAAGAATGTGAGGAGAAAACCTGCAAACCATATTACTCAGGGTCTAGTATTCAGAGCGAATTAAAAACTCTTAACATGGGGCTGGGGATGTGGCTCAAGCACGCTCACCTGGCATACGTGCGGCCCAGGTTCGATCCTCAGCAGCACATACCAACAAAGCTGTTGTGTCCGCCGAAAACTAAAAAATAAATATTAAAATTTTTTTTCTCTCTCTCTCTTTAAAATAAAATAAAATAAAGATATTGTGTCCACCAAAAAAATTAAAGGCAACAAAACTAAAAATCACAATTCCCATTTAAATCATTAGAGAATGACCATTTGGTAAAATTCTACTTCCCTTTATAATGAAAACCCTCAAAAATTAGAAATAAGAGAAATGTGCCTCAACCAAATAAAGGCAATGGATCACAAACCCAAAAGAACATCACACTGAAAGGTGAAGAGGGGAAACCATTTCCTGTAAGATCAGGAACAAGACCAAACTCTTATTCAATATACCATTAGAAGTACTGGCCATACATTTGCAAGTAAATGGATGAAGCTGGAGAATTTCATGTTAAGCGACATGAGCCAATCCCCAAAAACCAAAGGGTAAATGTTTTCTCTGATATGTGGATGCTGACCCATAATGGTGGGGGGTGGGTATGGGAAGAACTGGGGAACTTTGGATTGGGCAGAGGACAGTGAGGGGATGGGAGGGGACAAGGGGTAGGAAAGATAGTAGAATGAGATGGATATCACTATCCTAGGTACATGTACAAGTGCATGAATGGTGTCCTGCACAAAGATTCTACTTCATGGACAACCATAGAAATGCAATGCTGTGCCTCATTTGTGCACAATGAATCAAAATGCATTCTTCTGTCATGTATAACTAATTGGAAGGAGGTCTAATTACCCCTGTCTGCAGAAGACATGATTCATATACGTAAGCCCCTCTCATTACATACATCTGAGCTGTAGGCAGCCCCTGATTTTCATGTCCCCTGGATTCTTGAGGCTCCCATCATGCTGAGACTGCACATGGAGGTAAAGGGAGCAGGAAAGTGATGACACCTATACTGCTAAAACCTCACAATTCCTAAAAGGCTGCTGCATGGATTAGTGTAGTGTGATGTACTTTATTCTTCTTTTTAAAATGCATTTTTATAGGGGAAAAAAGTATCATTGGGACAGCTGTCTTRAATAATAGGTTATATTAGAAAACCCCCACATGGGATAAGATTCTTTGAAGAAAATTCAAACAAACAATCTTCATTTGTAGTAATGCAATGAAATTTTACAGAAAACTTAAAAGGCAGTTTCAGGGATGGGAGTGTAGCCCAGTGACAGAGCATGAAGTCCTGGTCCAGTCCCCAACACTCCTCCAAATATAAATATATGATCTTTAATGTGAATAAAATGTTTTCTGACATGATTTTTTATTTGTGCTTTGGTGGAAGGTGGGCAAGGGAAACGACTTTTTATTTTTTTTAAGATTTCAGTAACTGGATTCTTTGAGTTCCTCTCCCATCTGTGCAGGCATCWCCCTGGGTCCCAAGGCTCCAAAGCTTTGGCTTCAGTGGTATCTAGACCAAGTTTACTTATGCCAGTGCTGCACCTTCAGAGGCCAGAAGCTCCAGCTACAGCAGAGGGTAAAGTACCCTGTGAAGAGCATGGTGATGCCACCAACCCCGCTCCTCCTCACCATGGTGTTGCACCAGATCCAGCCTCTGCACACAGCTCCCAAGAGTCTCCTCAGAGGAAATATGGAGGTGGTAAACATGACCAGGGGTTACAAATTGCTTAAACCAGTCAAACTTCTTCCTAACAAAGGAACTTGTGAGAGGCTTTGCCCCTGAGGACTGGAGAGCTGAGACCTGTGGACTATTGAATTCCAATACGGAGGCTTCCCCTGCAACACCCCTAGTCCAAGAGAACCAGGATAGAGCTCTGGAAATCACTTCAACCCCATGAATCTGGGAAGGGTCTTTCTGTCAGCAGCACCAATATGACTGATAGAGAAAATCACTTTTTAGAAAAGAGATGCATGCAGAGACTGCGGCACCCACTGCACAGTTCTGGGGCTCACAGCCAGAGCTCGAGTCTTAATCTGCACTAATAACTTCACATCAGGGACTTGCTGAAGACTGCAGAATGGTGCTTTCTCTTCTTGAAGAAATTTCACAGTCAGAGAAGCAAGACTTTGATTCACAGTCAGAGAAGCAAGACTCACTGTAAGCTGCGTCCTGTGGGGGTAACAGAGGACCTGCATCTTCCAGCTTCCCCTCTGTGGCTGAAGCTCCAGTGATGAAGTGCTCAGAGCCATGGCTCAATGGTGCCGGCTCCTGCATCTCCATGGCAGACACACTTTCCTCCTCATTCTCTTTGCTCACACAGGCTTCTATTCCAAGGCCAAATCCTTGGTTCTGGTTCCCCCTAACTTGAATTTCAACAAACCGGCTAACTCTGAGGCCTAAAACAGGTGATGCTGAATTCTCTTCCCAGGACTCAGTGTCGGCAGAGCCTAAGATGATTCTTTCAGATGATGTGGAGTGACTAACTGCAGACCCATACACACTTATTTATAATTTGAAATCTCAGAAGTGTTAAAATCCATTTGTGGGTAGAATGGGGGGACTCATTTGATGGAAGACACTGACGTGGTCTGAATTGACTTGACAGCAAAACAAACTAACAGATTTGTATAAACATATTTAAGATATTTTAATATAAAATCAATTTTATTTGGGTGCTATGCTAAATCTACCTGGAAGTGTTTATATAGTACACAAATGTTCCATATACATATTACTTTTTTATTGGTTCTTTTCAGTTATCCATGACAATAGGATTCATTTTGACATAACTATGAAAGCAATGGAATATAATTTGTTGTAATTCAGTCCCCAGTACTTCCTCTTCTCCTATCCTCCTCCGTCCTCATGTTCCCTTCCCTCTACTTGACTGATATTTCTGCTATTTATTTATAGTTTTAAAAAATTAGTGTCCTGTGCATGTGCATGATAATGAGGTTCACTGTGGTATAGTCACACATGTACACAGGAAAGCTAGGTCAGATTCACTGCACTGTCTTTCCCTATCCCAGCCCTCCCCTTCAGTCCCCTTTGTCTACTCCACTGCTCTTTCTTCTATTCTTTTTTTATCCTCTGCCCTCCTTATTTTGGATTAGCTTCTGCATATCACAGAAAATATTCTACCTCTAACTTTTGGGGACTGGCTTATTTACGTTGGTATGATAGTCTCCAGTTCCATCAATTAACTGATAAAGGCCATAAAGTCATTCTTCTTTATGGCTGAATAGAAGTCCATTGTGTATATATGCCATGTTTCCTTTATCCATTCATCTGTTGAAGGGCACCTAGGTTGGCTCCATTCCTTGGCTATTGTGAATTGTGTTGCTATAAACATTGATGTGGCTGCCTCCCTGTAGGATTCTGATTTTAAATTTTTTGGATTTATACTGAGGAGTAGGGTAACTGGGTCATATGAAGGTTCTATTTTTAATTTTTTCCCAACTGCTTTCCAGAGTGATTGTGCTAATTTGCAGTCCCCACCAACAATGTGTGAGTGTACCATTTTCCCCATGTCCTCGCCAACATTTGTTGTTACTTGTATTCTTGATAATTGCCATTCTGCCTGGAGTGAAACGGTATTTCAGTGTAGTTTTAACTTGCAATGCTCTAATTGCTAGAAAAGTTGAACACTTTTTCATAAATTGGTTGACCTTTGCATTTCTTCTTTTGCCCATTTATTGATTGGGTTATTAGCCTGTTGCTATTGTTGTTTTATTTGTTTTGGTGTTAACCTTTTTGAGTTCTTTTTTATATTCTGGATATTAATGCTCCATCTGAGGAGCAGGTGGCAAAATATTTCTCCCATCCAGTTGGCCCTCTTTTCACACTCTTGTTTCTTTTGCTGTAAAGAAGCCTTAAAAAAAAACTGTTAGTTGTAGCTGGCCACAATATTTTGTAGCACTGGGGATTGAACCCAGTGCTTCACATGTGCTAGACAAGCACTCTACCACTGAGCAATACCCGCAACCCTGAGAAAGAAATTTTTCATTTAATGACATTCCATTTATTTATTTATTAAACTTTTTTCACTTTAGGAGTCTTGTTAGGGAACTCAGTTCCTGAACAAACATACATGTTGGAGTGTTGGGACTACATTGTCTTCTAGGAGTTGCAGAGTTTCTGGTCAAAATCCTGGGTCTTTGATTAACTTTGAGGTTTGTGCAGGGTGAGGGACAGGGGTTAAATTTCATTCCACTACATATGGATTTCCAGGTTTCCCAGCACCTTCTGTTTAAAAGTCTTTTTTCCAATGTATGTTTTTGGCACCTTTGTCTAGTGTGCGATAATAGTATTTATGTGGGTTTCTCTCTGCGTCATTACTCCATTGGTCTTCGTGCCTGTTTTGGTGCCAGTCTCTCTTTCTTACTATAGCTCTATAGGATAATTTCAGGTCCTGTATTGTGATGCCTCCTGCTTTGCTGTTCTCACTAAGGATTGCTTTGGCTATTCTGAGTTTGTTATTTTTCTAAATGAATTTCATAACTGATATTTCCAGTTGTGTGAAGAACATCATTGGATTTTTGGAAATTGCACTGAATCTGTATAAAGCTTTGGGAAGTATGGCTATTTTGACAATATTAATTCTTTCTGTCCAAGAACATGAGACGTCTTTCCATCTTCTAAGGTATTATTCAATATTTTTTCTTAGTGTTCTATAGTTTACATTGTAGAGGTCTTTCACCTCTTTTGTTAGATTGATTACCAAGGTTTTTTTTTAATTTTTTATTTCTTGTAATTGGTCATGCATGACAGTAGAATGCATTTATAAAGTTTGATATGCATAGATGGGATAAAATTTCTCATTTTTCTCAGTGTACATGTTGTAGTATCATATTGGTCATGCAGCCACATATATGCATACAGTAATAATGTGTTTTGTTCTACTATCTTTCCTATCCCCACATCCCCTCCCTTCCCCTCCCTTCACTTCCCTCTACCTAATCTAAGGTAATGGTATTCTTCTCTAGAGCCCCCCAACCAATTATTGTGAATTAGCATCTGCACATTAGAGAAAACATTCGGCCACCTCTTCCATTCAGGACCCCCTCTGCCACTCTCACGCAGGACCCCTGGCAGCCACTCCCATGTGGACCCCCATCTACCAGCATGGAGCTCCCTCAGTAGTCTCCATCTTGGGACACTGCTACCACTGCTATAGTCCCTGCACTTGGGGACACTGGACAGGGTCTGGAGATAGCTTCAAGCCACAACACTGCATACCCGGAGCTGTATCTTCAATGCCACTCAATGCCCCCACCCAGCCCAACCTGACACCCCATCTCTGAAACCGACCACCTCCAACTTGGGACACCTTTGTCACCATATTTAATCAGGGCAACACTCAGCTTGGAACACTGGCAGGGTGGTAGAAGCAACATCAAGTTAACTCTAGTCCCCAACTCTCCCGCTCCCCCGCAGCCACTAATTGGGAACAGTGCTTGCAGCTATGTGGCTGGTCAGTAGCTCCCAAAGACTGGTCCAGATATGTCCAATATAAAACAGCTCTCTGTGACTAGTGCGACAGGTGTGAAGGCCTCAGAGCACAGCCCACAAGACCTCTGGAAAGATCAGCTCCTGATTGGGAAGTAGATAGGGAGAGGGTGAGTGATACAGTTTAGAGGGTAAAGACCAGGAATTGTGAGGCCCACAGGTGATATAAAGAGGTCAGAGCAGGCGCCCACATCAGTCTCCCAATGAGGACCAGCAAGTGCTATACTCCACCTCCAGGAGTTCCACCACCAAAACTAAGCCCCCCACCCTAATAACCTTCACCACCCTGAGGGTGGAGATACCAGCAAACAACAGACAACCCCACCTAGTGGATGAGAAGGGAAGCAAGAAAGATAGTGAACTCCAACAGAAACAGTCATGAGGGCTGGGGATGTGGCTCAAGCGGTAGCACGCTCCCTTGGTATGCATACGACCTGGGTTCCATCCTCACACCACGTATAAACAAAGATGTTGTGTCCGCTGACAACTAAAAGATAAATGTTAAAAAAAAAGAAACAGTCCTGAAATCTTCCTTCCAGGTTTTTTCTTTTCTTTCTTGCTTGCTTGCTTGATTTTTCTTTCTTTCTTTCTTTTTTTTTTTTTTGTTGTTCTTTTATTTTTCTCTCTCTTCTCCTGCCCTCACATCCCCAACATTTGCAAAACCAATTACTTTTCATGGATTAGGCTACTGAGGACTGAGATGTCTGAATAGTATATTACAATTGGGTTGTATATTCATTTTATTTATTATTTTTAAATTTTTCCTAACATTTATGTTTGTTTTTTGTACTCTCTCTATTGTCTTCCCACTTACTTGTCTCCCCCAAATCACTTTCTCTCTCTTCTGCTAYTAACCAACTTCTTTAGATTCCTCTTTCTAAGATCTAATAAATAATAACTTAAAAATAACTAATGAACGCTGTATCTTCATCTTCTATCCCCTTAACATCTGATCCTACACCTCACACCCAGTTCTCTCTCTGCTCAGCATCAGAAACTGTAGACCTTTTTGCAAACCTACTGTTTACAAAAACTCACCATTTCTGTATATTGTGACAAAACCATAAAAGTCTTAATAGGAGCTATTTAAGTCTATATATTKTTTGTATTGGGATCTGTTAATATTGTTCTCCTCCTTAAATGAGAGGTATTGAAACCCTGCAGGGACACTATAAGCCTATAATAAGCCTAAGGTCAACACCATTCCAAATGGAAAAAAATGGAAAGCATTCTTTCTAAAAATTGGAACAAGACAGGATGCCCTCTTTCACCACTTCTATTTAACATAGCCCTTGAAACTCTAGCCAGAGCAATTAGACAGATAAAAGAAATTAAAATTTAATTAAAAATTTAATTAAAATTAAAATTGAATCACTATTTGCTATTCACATGATTTTATAATCAGACAACTTGAAAAATTCTACCAGAAAACTTCTAGAACTAATAAATAAATTCAGCAAATTAGTATAAAATCAATACCCATAAATCAAATGCATTTCTGTACATTGCTAATGAATCCTCTGAAAGAGAAACTAGGAAATCTATCCCATTTGTAATAGCTTCAAAAAATAAAATACTTCGGAATCAACTTAATGAAAGAGGTGAAAGATCTCTACAATGAAAACTAAAGAACGCTAAAGAAAGAAATTAAAAAAGATCTTAGAAGATGGAAAGATCTCCCTTGTTCTTGGATAGACAGAATTAATATTGTCAAAATGACCATACTACCAAAAACACTATACAGATTTAATGCAATTCCAATCAAAATMCCAATGACATTCCTCATAGAAATAGAAAAAGCTGTCATAAAATTCATCTGGAAAAATAAGAGACCCAGAATAGCCAAAGCAATCCTTAGCAAGAAGTCTGAAGCTGGTTCCTTCACAATACCAGACCTTAAACTATGTATACTACCATAGCAATAGTAAAAATAATGGCATGGTATTGGCATCAAAATAGGCTTGTACACAATGGT